GCTCCGCGCCCACGCGAGCGGGGTCCGGGCCGGGCTTCCCGCGTGACCCCGCCCCTCGCCCAGGGCGCGCTGGTGGTCAGGTGGTTGCCTGCGCGCCGCCGCCTCCCCGCCGCTCCAGCCAGCCCGCGCGCCCTCCCGGGCGTGCCTTGGCGTGGCGGCGATTGTCCAGCCCTGCTCCGTGCCCTGCTCCCGCAGGCGAGGGAGGGCGACTCCCTTTCCAGATGTTACGGCCCCGCCCGAGCCTCTCAGCGTGCCTCTGGCATTGGGGTGGACTGCAGAGGGCCCCAATGGGCGCCAGAGGGTGTCCACGTCCGGCGTGGGCTCAGCGCAGAGGCCCCGCGGGAGCCCTGGAGGTGCTGACCACCGTCCCCTCCCCCAAGTCCCTCTGGCACTCACCGGACCCTGGACTTTGCTCTGCCTCTCTCCACCAGGCCAGGGCTGCTGATGGTCGTGGCTGAAATACCTCAAGGTAGCTGGGCCTGTCCCGTCTTCCCCACCTACCTCCTGTCCTCCCCCCCACACCACCACCACCCTGGCTCCCCTCCCTCATGACCGCCTGGATCCTCCTGCCTGTCAGCCTGTCAGCATTCTCCATCACTGGCATATGGACCGTGTGAGTAAAGGGGGTAGGGGCCCAATGGGAGCTTCATGGCACATACACAGTCCCTTGTCCTGTTGTAGGCTCCAGGGTGGTACCCAGGTCACTGGCTGTGGTCAAAGCCTGGCCTGGTGCCTGGGCACACAGCCCTTTGGGACAAGCTGGCACCACTGTTGTCCCGCACCCTGACCCTCACAGACTCCTAGCCAGGGCAACTTCCAGAGGGCCTCTAGCTGGGGGCCGTCCTGCAGGCTCTGGTGCGGTAACAAGCCTCAGGACCGCCCCCGCTGGATTCCCAGCAAGGTCACTGCGGTTGAATGGGGCCAGAAATCAAGGTGGAAGAGCAGTCAGTGGGGGTGGCTGGCCGGGAGGCCACCAGGGCAGGGTGACAGTTCTGCTCCCACAGGTATGCCATGGCCGTGATGAACCGCCACGTGTGCCCCGTGGAGAACTGGTATGGAGCACTCTGCAGACAGCCTCACTCTAAAGCTCCTCTCATCTCTGTCCCCTCTTGGGCTCGCAGCTGCCTTGAGGCAAATACCCTGGGCCTCCCTGCTCTTCTCTGCCATTAGTCCCCAGGCCTGACCTCACGCCCATCCTCCCATTCTTCACCATCCCTTCACCCCGTTGGCTTGTTTCCAGCAGACCCTGGGAGTGGGCACCGCTCCTCCTGCTAGGGAGGTCCGGGAAAGGGTCCTCTTGGAGGCCTGAGGCTAGGGCCCGAGGTCACCCCTTCCCCCAGTCTACTCCCTGTCCTGCCCGCCAGGTCCTACAACGAGTCCTGCTCTCCTGACCCCACTGAGCAAGGGGGTCCCAAGACCTGCTGCACCCTGGATGATGTCCCCCTCATCAGGTGAGGCCTGGAAATGGCAATACAGAGAGACCCTGGGCCCTCCCAGACTCCCACAATGCCACTCAAGCAAAGGTCTGTCCCTGGGCCTCAGAATAACAAGTCTGCTAAGAGCCCTCAATGGCAGTACTACTTGCCAGTTACCACCTCCCGGCACTGGGCTGAGCACTTTCTGTGCAAATAGTCTCAATCCTCCCAGCGGTGAGGCAGCTATTGCTTTACCATTTCTTAGGTGGGAAAATGGAGGCTCCGAGTTGTCAGTGCTCCAGGTCACATGGCTAGTGAGTGGGCACACCTGGATTCTAGCTCAGGCCTCCGCCAAGCTCACGTTAGGGCTCAAGTTTACCCATGCCAGTTGCAGGCCCTGGCAAGGAATCTTGGGCTCTCCGGGCCCGCCCGTCTGTCTCTCATACACCAGCTCTGCGGGAGGGCTGAGGGACACAGCACGAACCCACAGCTTGCCTACTGAGGTGCAGGGGCAAGCCGGGGGGCCCTCGGTGCTCCTGCCCCTCACTCTGTCCTTGCGCCCCTCAGCAAGTGCGGCACATATCCCCCAGAGAGCTGCCTCTTCAGCCTCATTGGCAACGTGGGTGCTTTCATGGGTGAGTTGTGCCCTTAACCCTGCCCCTGCTGGCCCAGTCCAGCATACACACCTCCACCCCCCGCCAAACACACACACCACCTCCCCAAAAAGGCCCCAAACGCCCTTGCTCAGTACAGTTCCCCCACCAAGGGCTAAAGCAGCAGGGGCGACTGTCTGTGGTTGCTTGAGGGCCAGACTGCCTCCCACATAGCTGCCCTGCTGGCCTGAGGAAACTCAGTTGCCACCCACCCGTCCCTTCCTCTCCCTTCCGGCCCTCAGTAGGGACAGAAGCGCCACAGTGGCTGGGAGAGTCCTGTGGGTTGGCTGGGCTGGGCTACAGGAAGGGGCTGGAGGGAGGTGCTAGGCCTGGCCCCAGCCGGATGCTCCTCCCTCAGTGGCCCTGGTCTGCCTCCTGCGCTACGGACAGCTCCTGGAGCAGAGTCGGCACTCCTGGGTGAACACCACAGCGCTCATCACAGGCTGCACTAATGCCGCAGGCCTCGTGGTGGTCGGCAATTTTCAGGTGCGCCCCTTCCCTCCCTCTTGAACTTCCTGCATGGCCAGCACCTCCAAGTTGGGAGGCAAGAAAGGAGGGGCTAGAAGGGAAGGAGAGGCAGAGGAGCCAATGCTTCACGGATTAGCCCTTCTCTCTGGGCCCAGGTGGATCATGCCAAGTCTCTGCACTACATTGGAGCTGGCGTGGCGTTCCCCGCGGGGCTGCTCTTCGTCTGCCTGCACTGTGCTCTCTCCTACCATGGGGCCACAGCCCCCCTGGACCTGGCTGTGGCCTACCTGCGAAGTGTGCTGGCTGCCATCGCCTTCATCACACTGGTTCTCAGTATCCTTCCAGAAGAGGGCAGCCAGGGACACATCCTCTAGCTTAGCCTTTCTTGCATCCGAGATGGAGGGGATGGGGGCGGATGTACAGGTTTCTAGCTAACGCTGCCGGTGTCGTCTGCTCTCCCAGGACAGTGAGGCTGGGTCCTTTGCCCCAGCCTAGCTCATGTCTGGGACTGAAGAAGGATGTTGCCAGTCCCCATACATCCCACAGAACATTTCCTTAACCCCCTCCCAGGTGGCGTCTTCTTTGTCCATGAGAGTTCTCTGCTACAGCACGGGGCAGCCCTATGCGAGTGGGTGTTTGTCATCGATATCCTCATTTTCTATGGCACCTTCAGCTATGAGTTTGGGGCGATCTCCTCAGACACACTGGTTGCTGCACTACAGCCTGCCCCTGGCCGGGCCTGCAAGTCCTCCGGGAGCAGCAGCACCTCCACTCACCTCAACTGCGCTCCCGAAAGCATCGCCATGATCTGAGGTCTGGGGAGGGTGGCTGGCCCGGCCTCCGCAGCACCACCCGCCCCCAACCCCTACCTTCTTTGCATTTATTTTGTACCAAAAACAATTTTAAGAAAGTGTTCTGTTGGGATCTGGGCTTCCTCGCTCTTGGAGAAGTGGCCATCCCACATCCACCTGTGCCATAGAGGGGTGGGCCCTGCCAGCTGCCTCAGCTGCACGACCTGCTTCCACACCCCGTGGTGTTGTTTTGTGTTTAAAGGTCACCTGTCCTCACTTGCCCAGCCGGCCCTTCAGGTGCCTTCTACTCCCAGTGCCAGAGCCAGACCACTGGGGTTTCCTGCTGCAGGAATGGGGGGCTGGGAACAGCAGAGGGGATAGAAGTCTGGGGAGGGGGTGAGCACGCCTTAGTCTATGGAAAGGCCCACTTCTGGGCCCACTGAGCTGCACTGGGATTTTTCACCTGCCCCTTACTTCCTTTAGGGCAAATAACACAGCAGAACCACGTGGGTATTTTAGTACTTTTTTTTATATCTATTAAAGAATTCTAATTTGCATGTTTGTAGTCTGTTCTGGAGAGTGAGGGAGGATCTGATGTAGAATGGCTTTACCTCAGCAAAGGATTGGAGGATACTCCACCTCCAGGGCAAGCCCTGAGTCCTCTTTAAGGGCAGGGCTGCAGGTGCTATCCAAATACCTCTCAGGAGCTCAAAATCTTCTGCAGGCCTCTGAACAGTAAAGAACTGACCTGTTTGATAATCTTACACTCCTCCCACTCAGTCTGGTTTGAACTTTGATTCAAAGTAGGGACTCCAGAAGGGGGTTACAGAGAACAACTAAAATGTTTAAGTAAGATCAATTTTCTCAGTGGAGTTAAAACTCCTGGGGTTCCAAGGTTAACTAAAGCTTCCAGAGTAACTAGAAATTACAGAGGAGGACGGCCCAGGTTAGTTTTATCAGCTCTAGACAGCTACTGGGTACCAGACCCTGCCACGTTTTGTCCAAGCCCTGGCTGGTCCAATGGCTGTGCTGCCCTAAGTCCAGACAGGCTAGCAGGAGGGAAACATAGACGGATGATCTAGAGTTAAAGACCACCTTCCCCAGTAGCAGCAGAGGCCTAGAGGAGGATGCACAGCCCCTGCCCAGGCCTGTGAGCAATGTAGTCGCAGGGCAGGTAGAGAAACCTTTAATGAGGGTTCAAGATGCAAGAGGACGACGAGCTCAGCCCCAGCCACCTACGTGTACATGGCCCCATGGAGGTTCTCCAGTCGGTGCTGCTGCTGCTGCTTCCGAGCCTAGGGGAAAGAAGGTACACTGAGCAGGGGCCATGCTAGAAGGCCTTGCAGTGAAGGGATGGGACAGCCACCATGGGGCTAGCACTCACTGCTTCAGGCACCTAGCATCTGCACTGCTGAGGTACTTAACCCTCCCCAAAGTCACTGGGACGGCGGCAGAGCCAGGGACTCTGAGGCCTACCCAGGGGAATGGTAAGAGTAGGAAATGAGAACAGCAGGGCCAAAGGCATAGAGCCCATTGTAACCCACTCCATTTACCCACCAGCCCCTACCTTATCTCGTCTGTGCTCCTCGTAAGTGTCATCATCAGTGGGCAGCTCATGGCGGCACAGGGGGCAGGAATTTGTCTGGGAAAAGTTAGGTGCAGTGTTCCAGCCCAGGTCTGGTCTTCATAAGCCAATAACCCTTCCCTGTTCCCAATTCCCATCATTCCTTAATTATCCCCCAACAGTCCATCAACACAAGCTTAATACTGGGCCCAGGGCAGGGTGAAGACTGGAATAAAGGAAGCAGTACCTTGCTCAGCCAGGGCAGAATGCAGTTGGAATGGAAGAGGTGATGGCAAGGCATCTCAATGACAGTCTCCTCTTCCTCAAATTCCAAAAGACACACGGGGCACTTGAGCTCTTTAGGAGGGAGTGCTGATCAGGAGAGCTGCTACAGGCCCCACCTCCCAGTCCCCACTCGTGAAGGACACGCTTGCCCAGACCTGGCTTAGAAAACTAGAGGGCCAGATCTTAGTCTCGCTTGGGAAAGGAGCAGGTCTGGCTGACAGGCCCCAGAGACGGGAAGGAATTCATGTCCTCACCAGCCTGAGAGCCCCCGATGACTTTCCTAGG